ACACGCTCGGACCAACGCATGGTCACCATCCAAACACGTGGACTAGAAGGAGCGGCAGTCTTCCACTGATCCTCTCCAGCAATGACTGATAGCGATGTGGTCTATCTGTGTCCGTCGCTGAGTTGAGCTCGGTAGACGCCACGTCATACAGTGTCTGAAATTTGTGCTAGCTACAAATAAGTGGTCATCTGAGCACAGTTGTAGTAGGCGATCACCGTTATCTGTACGTTCAGCTGGGATTCCGAAAGTGTCAATCAAGTGCCTTTCTGTCCCACTCAGTCTACCCACCTGTGCATTGAAATCATCTGCAACAACCACCACGTCCGAACGTTTGGCTTTCGAGAGAAGGCTAGACGGTTTACAGTAGAACTTGTCCTTTACTTTATCCGAATTGCAGTCAGTGGGTGCGTAAGCAGAGATTACAAAGAGACAGCAGCGAGTTTCACTATGCTTTTAAGTTCTCACTGAGCCATTCAGCCGGACAGCGCAGAGGCGCCTATCAACCGGGATCCAGTCTAGTAGTGAGTTTTCTGCCCTAGTGCTTAATGCTATGTCTACACCTGCAAAACCCGAGAGCTAGCTATCGAATATCCAGAAACTCGAAAGGTGGGTTTTGCGGATTCGCCAGATTGGTCGGGAGAGGTCAGGTGAATAACCGCACTCACAAACACAACACACATGCATGGTCTCAGTTACTAGAGTCTTAGTCAATGAAGGCAGTTGACCGATTTGACGAGAGTGCGGACATTTAAGGCCCCGATGTGTAATTTGGAGGATAGTTTAAGGAGACCACGAATGCCGTTCTGTCGATTTAGATAGTTGTTGAAGGCTGCAGAGCTACGAGAAATTGAAGATGAGGTAGTATCATTAATTGAGAGAGGTGAAGGAATATTAGAAGGTAATGATGATGGAGGTGGATAGTAGTCTGAAGAAACCTGAGTGCTGAAAGAGTTGTGAGGGCGGTTGACTCATCCCGGCTGCTCACACCGTGGAAGGCTATTTCTTTTTAAGGTACCTGGAAGAGATTTGTGTGACCGCAGAGCCCATCGAACATCTGCTTGAGGCCTGTCACATGCAGCCTTTTGCGTACGGTTGTTTCGAACTTTTGTTGTTTTGGGGCCGGATGGTCGGAAAGAAACGAGAAATGAACCAACACCACCGACCCGGCAAACCATGGGGTATGGTGAAGTGTGTTTTTTTAGGGTCGACCTTTGCTAACACCCCCCCCAATCCACTGAGAAGTCCCATGCACTGCCATGCTGATACTGAGAAGGCACCATCAGCATGGTACTGCTGGTCATCCAAGGGAAATACCTTACTGCTGTCACACCCCATCCAGCTGGCAGCAGTACGACTTCGCCTTCAGACCCCCATCATAGTGTAGTAATTTACACCACAACGGTAACTGCTTTTCGTCTTACCACTATCTAATAGACCTTTCTAGTATGGTAGGACCCCGAGGGAACAACTGGTCCATCAGCATAGCTCGTTGGGTCATTGTGATATGCAAGCCCGGCCACCACGTTAAGGTGGCAGCTATCGGTCGGGTATGCCCCATTAGTAGGTTCATGACAAAGTTAAATAACGACGATGACAGTAAGGATCCCTGGCGGATACGACTAGTGATCAATTCACATGAAAACTTTCACAAGCCTAACACGGCTGCGTGAGTTCGAATTAAGAGCTTTGGTTAGCGTCACATACTTGGTCGGTACTCCTTGCACAGTCAGACACTGCCACAACACCTCAAGGTCTACAGAGTCAAATCCTGTCTTCAGGTCAACAAATATGGGAAGTATCGGTCGCCAGTAATGTGTTTATTGCATGACCTGTCGGAGGGGGGGGGGGGTGAAAATATGATCCATGCACTTTTTTCAGGTGTGAAAATTGTCTGGTTTTCTCGAGCTCCAGTTAAGTGCCGGGTAACTATGGATCCTAGGATCTTGGACATAATAGTAGTCAAACTAATTCCCCTATGGCTGTCACAGGAAGATCTCACCTTTCTTATAGACTGGGATGATCTGTCAAAACGGGAAGACATAGTTAAGTAAAAAAAACTGTTCGAACTGAAGTAAAATCAAAATGTCATGTGATGATACCATAAATATCTCTTACCCAAAACAAAATTCTCGTAAAAATTAGAAGTGTAAAAATGGATACTGCAGAATTTAGAACAAGAGATTACGTAAGCTAATGAGTAGATAAGTTAATCATACTCAGCACACAAAATGTAACACTTAGGTTTATTCTGAACTGAGAATATAATCATAGGATAATATAATCGAAAAGGTTAAGAAACTAGATTAGTGGGGTAGTTGAAGATTGAAGATAGATTCCTTCTGAAAACATAAATTAGGTCCCAGACTTTTGATTGCAATGGCAACAGAAAAGAGGTCTAAATTATTCCACTAATTAATCGTTTTGAACGATTTTAAAGCATCTGCTTGGTGTCCTGTGTCCACTAACTGCACTATTGAGGATACTTGCTCCTCTCATCCGTAGGCTCTTCTAGAAATATCCAAAATATGCAAGGTAAGTCCTTCCATCTGTTCTCTCAAAGTAACTGGCAGATATATATGAAGAGATACATATAACTGGAGGTAACACATGAGGAGCACAAGTTAACCGTTGACTGCACCAGGAAGTAAAAATTTCAAAGCAGGAGAACTAACTTTGCTGCTGGATATGTCCTGGTCACTAAAGTGCGCAGTCTTCTGTTCACCAACATCGCAGTATCATCACTTTTGAAGCCAAGGTGAATAAAGACTAGTTTCTTAATGACAATTATTTGCTCAATTCCAACGCACTCATTAACCGTATTTGTTGGTGAAGCTTTGTGAGTATCCATTTCCTAAAAATACTTCTCAAGAAGTAATAATTCCTTTTCTGGTGCGTATATTTGTGCTCTACAGTCTTCCTTTTTAGTTGACTGGTCAGAAATTGTTGAAGTCAAGGTAACAGCTATATCATGTGCTTTTGCGATGAATAGATCTTTGTAGCGTATAATTGATGGTAGACTTCAAAGTCACTCCGCTTTCCAAGAACAGGATTAAAAAAGGGATGTACTGGAAATTGCTTAAGTAACACAAATTTCCTAATAGTATAACGTCATAAACTGTGCTTCATCAAATTTATTCTAACCGATACATGCCATTTTGACTTTATTTCAATTCACAGTCTCCTTACTTCACTGTTGTCGTCTCGTAATTTATTGTAAATATTCTAGATTGTAAGCAATTGACGAGAACCAACGTAGTAAAATGAACCTCCGTTATTCTGCTCAGATGTTTGTTCTTGTTCTCTTAATGTTAAAGAGAAATGTGTGCATAAGAGTTTGATACGCCTATCCGTAAGAAACAAACTAACTGTAAGAGGAACCTGAAGATCTAAGTTGGAGTTCCAGAGGTGCAAACCGTTTGCCACTCAAAACTTAGCATCAAGAACGATGTTATTGATTCAAAGGGTGAGATTACGTCCATTGCGTTATAAAACCTCCAGTGAAATCTCCAAGCCTTCTTACTTCCATCGCTGAGGTAACGAAACCCCTTGAAGTCTCAAACGTTCTCAGCAGGAGGTTAAAGTATTTTCATTGAAAATGTTGTGATCTTATGGAATCTGAGAGGATGGAAAGGTGTAGACTCATCTAAGTGCCATTCCTACGACTTGCATTCAGCTGAGTATAACATCCGGCACACTCCGCCAGGAACATCGTTTGGGGTGCATATCTCCAAGACGCTCGTGTCAGTTATATGGGTTAAAGATAGACCCGACCCCAAATCTTAAAGATGGTCTTGGGAAGTAAAGAGATGGACATTATTCTGAGTAACGCTCACAAGATATGCAACATATCTTCGTACCCGTTTGGATAGGCTTCCTAAAGACAGAAAGGAGGGGGACCACCCTGACCAAACGACAGGTTCAGAAAAAGAAAGCAAACACCAAACATATAAGTCTTCAGACATTAAGGTCTCGGAAACAAACGGCTTTAAGAGTGAGTCGGGTATTATCTCAAATCATATTCAACTGTTCGTAGCCTGTACAGTACACGAAATAAGACTCGATTTAGTACCTGTGACGAAAGCACGGTTATATAGAAAATGTGGTACTGTTTTTTCCTCTCTGGTTACTTGCAGGACAGGGCTGATAATCAAGTCATGAAGGTTAGGGGGGCGTTTATAATACATCCGAGAATACTATGTTGCGTTTAGATTTAAACGATAGGGTACAGCTAACATTTGAATTATTTAACACATTGACTAATATCGACTGAGTTTGATAGTGAGAACGGTCACTAGCGACGTAAACTTAGAATGATTAGTGATCGTAGATGTGCATGGCTGCTAGTGATATATCACAGACTTCTACCATAGAATTTTCAAGTCTCAAACAAAACAAGTCCAGAGAATCACTAGAAGTGACTTTGGAAGCTATTGGCCATTTTACCAAACCATCTACATATAACAAGGATTACATCTGGGTTTGATAATGATGAGCAGGGACTAGCAGTGGGGTTCAGAACTAGGGTTTCACCTGACTTGGAGCTCGTCATTTGACCGTAAGGTTTGCTCCTGCAGTGGACAAGGAAATCTCTTCTCCTTTCCTGCTTCAGCCCCGGTGAGGTGAATTTGTTGTGTTAGTAGGCCGAAATTTGCAGGATGATTGGGCAGCTACGGGTTGACTGAGGGGATTAAGGGTCTGTCGTGACTCCTGTCTGTATAGGTGCCTGAATAGGAACAGCACTGATAACAATACTGAGGCATCTGCCCAGCAGCCCATAAGCCAATGGCAGCCGATCGATTCAGTCTAAACAACGACAGGAAATCATAAGCGTACTTGTTGTAAAGACCTAAAGTGGACTTTAGTTGGTGGTATGACTAGATTTTAGAACACAACCCATATATAGAGCTGAAATCCCATAAAACACGACGTATTGTTGTTTATTTGTGATAAAGTATCAGGAAATATATCAAACCGTGAATGGAATCTTGTTGAAAACTTACTACACCGATTCCTAGTCGAAGATACTTCAACCAGGAAATGACCTTCAGGTGGCTTTCAGTTGATGGATGTTCACACTTTCCTATAGGTCATACTGTCCAATTTTCAACTGCCAGTCACACTTCAAATTCGTTATTTAGGGAATAATGAAACAGTTCTACTCTTCTTGTGAATACGCAGGACTGAAACATGTCCTTTAGATGGAAATGTTACAACCATTTGAAAAACTTCAGAGTATTTACCGGCCTGCTCACTTCTTGGGCTACCAAACTTTTCTACCGAATATCTTTCATCCGCTTCTTTCTTTTGATTTGTTCTATTATGTCAATTATGTCTTCAAAATGCATCGATTTCTCTTGCATACATTTAAATAGTCTTTTAACTGTCATTTTTCAAGCTAAGAAAGAAGAAACAATGTCTCACCAGATAGAAATGAACTTATAAATGTCTAAAAACGCAGTACATAACTCTTTCTTCTGCCTCAACGAACTACCGACACCGAAACTCCTCTTGCCCTTTTATTCCTTCCCCAGTCCATACTTAACACTAACGTGTAACGACCAGTTGTTGATGAGTTTTCGTCTAGCTCATAGATAGGTACGTCGTTACAGGGGTTGCACTGTTATCTGTAATACTGTTGTTATTGACACTAAACAAAGTCCTGAGAGGAAGTGGGTTCAGGACAGAATTTCAAGCCACTCCACTGCCAGTTTATGGCAGGTCCGACTTCTACAGAATATTTAAACATCCTGGTATGAATTATATGCACATCCTACTTCACAAGAATTTGCTTGAAACTGTCAAGCCAGTAAATCAGCTACTTCAATGGCGATTTTATAAAACCCCAAGAATAATTGCTGCGATCATCCGTATAACCATCACACATCTCAGGTAACAAAGAGTAGTTTCCAGATTACGCGGAAGCCTGTCAAGACTTCTTCATACCAAAACGGCAAGCGGTCTCACTTGACTGCACAACAAAACACTCGTCAAACCACCGGGAATAAAACGACAAAGCGTACGACAATTGCTCTTGAGCTTTGGTATTAGCATTACTAAATCGCACTGACAAGCAGTTCAACTGAGTACATTTCAACTTGCTTACCTAATAGTCGAGTTATCATCATTTCTGTTCATCTGAACTCTCAGACACACCTGACGCAGACTGACGGTTGCAAGCTGAAGTATACCGTCGATTCTCAAACAGTTGATTTCCACGTGTCCCTGTGTCCCTGTGTCCCTGTGTTAGGACCGAAGTATTAACCGCTTCACAATAATAATAATAATAGTATGTTTATTCTTGAACATACAGGCACACACCATTTTTGCAGGCATGAATAAGTTTTCATAAAATTGCCCGTATCTTCATGGAAGGTGGTCTCAATCCCCACCTATTGTCACTAGAAGATATAAGTGCTGCATGTTCACGTAATGAAACATTCCAGCTGAATAAGTATGCAGGAAATTTACAGGTTGAACAAATGGAAGCAGCCTTCGCGCTAACAAAAACCAGGTTTGTATCTCAACACTACATATATCACCTGGAGAAAAATAAAGCTTGGAGCCCATACTTCCATTGTAATGGTTTGTAAATTTTGCCTGGGATAATGATGAAAAGTTTGTGAGGGAATGTGTGCACAAATCGTTCACTTATTGTACCTCATTGATGATTCCAGAACTGTATAATACATGCATGGCAATACCATTCCACATAGAAGATTCATAATCTTGATGAATATAATACAACTGAGGGTCAAATTCTTTTCTTTTCTAACTCCGACATCCGGAAGCATTAAACTTGTTTGAACGCTCCGATTGGACTTCCAAGATATTTCAGACAATTTTCACTTTTGAAGTTGGCTGAGGTAGCGTAACAAATAACCACATTTGTTTCCCTGAACTTCCGAAGAGCCATAGTGTGGGTCAAGTCGTGAGTCTTATCCAAAGAAATAAATTTGACTGAATCAGTGGGAACTCGACGCTTTGTCGGATTCTGAGACTCCGCCAAATCTTCATCAACGTTTTATGAGACCTAGTGGTAAACATTTAGGGTAACTGTTCAAATGCATGTCAATTCTTCGTGAATAGTGAACGGTATGGACATACCGGCAGTATGTACATGGAGGACCTCCTGACTTTGGTAGCTCAAAAATTTACATTGCTCGGTACAGCTTGAAATTTGCCCACAAAGGCAATTGCCAACACAGTTGCCTTTTCATGTACGCATCATGCAAAACAAATGAGAAATCACGGAGTTTTCACGGCTTGGATAAGTTGTTTAACTGCTAAACACACTCCACGGTTTAAAATGTTGACCTTCAGCAGTTCTTCACACCTGTGTATCGCTTCAAAGTTCCCACGCTTAATATACTGGATACATACGTTTCTGAAGCCACAAAGCCTTCTAGGGCCTCCTTGCCTTTGAGGATATGCTGTCAGGACAGTACCCAAAACAACCCCATAATTAGGTTGATTTATTGCCAAAATTTCATGTAAACTCCGTAGCACATTAACATTTGAACTGGTGAAGTTGTGTTGGGGCACGTATCAACAATATTTATTTCACACAAATTAGTGCACATCAGCGCACAACATTTTTGGAGGCGTGGTTTTCTTTGTGATTCATAGTTATCGCCTCAAAGTTACCGATTGTCTTGATGCTATCTCAGATTAGTTCTTGAATAACTACAGTTATCAACGGATAGAAAGCATTGACGTTTATTCTCTTTGGTTCATGCAATTTTCTCTTTAAGGTTAGTAACAACAATACTTTGTTCTTGGGTTTATCGGAGCACATAATTTTTACAGATATGATTATTAGGAGCAATTTTAAGTCACTGTAACAATTCTAATGTCGTTCTAATTACTTACTGGCCTGTGCAATAAAGGTAATGGTGTATAAATACTGTTAATGCATACAGGAGTGAAGACTAATTTTGAAAGCCTATGTGGGAGTGGAATTTCATAATTCAAACTGAAAGGTGTAACCGTCATATATGCTGATGAAAGCGCTAAATCGTAAACAGGAAACTAATTATTGCGAACAAAATCAAGCAACTCATGCCCATTTTAGTGATGGGAACGATCATTTTCGTGGTAAGACCATAAATACTGTTAGTTGTGCGGAGCCGGGTCCCAGTACTATTTGTGTCGATTCCGCAGAGGACTGTAAGGTGTGCATATAAAAGACTAGTGCGCCAGAATATAATCCACCTGTCGGGTGAATTTTGCAAAATCGGGCTACACTTCCTCAGTTCCATCATGCCTTTTGCTTGCTCATCTATATCGAACCCCTCACGTTGCATTGCGCCGTTATAATCCAAGCTGAGGCGATCTGAACGTTGTTGGCCACCAGATTTCGTCTACTTTGTCGGTGAGTCCCAATTTTTTTCAGGGTCATGCTGAGTGCCGTATTTTCTACAAACAACAGGGGTGAAGATGTTATTAACCATCACATTTGATTGCATATTGGCTGGATGGGCTGTATCGCACTAACGATCGTAAAGTTCCGTTTGTATTTGGATGTTTAAATATTCAACAACCTCTCAGCCTGTCCTTGAGTATCATAGAGATAATATGATACGTGTTTTGACCTCAGATGCCGCGTCACCTTGCCACTTGGTGTCAACAGATGCGAAAACACAACAGTTCCGTTGGATCTTCCAAGCGGTATCATCAGCCCTACACATCAACCATATACAGTTGTAAAACCACGAACTTTTTGTGAAACATATACGGATGCTAGAGACTACGCTCGCATTGAATCTAACTCTGTGTATGTGGAAACGATGTGCCCACTAAACACAAATAAAAACATTGCTCCGTTGTCCCTAATAGAGGCGATACCATTTCAAGTAACTGTGCGGTAGATTTACCAATAGGATACCCTCGTAACTCCACAACTACAAGCGAGCAAGGTATAGAGACGTTTTGTAGCGCAACCATGTCAATGAAGCGACACTGAGGTTACCTTTGGCCTGTTTAGCAGGCTATAAAGCTATACACATCATTATTCCTCTTACTTTTATATCGCCCTCATAAACGCAAGGTCCGCCCTTACCGAGCTATCAGCATTAAAGAGGAATCGCACTCATATGTAGGCCGTCTGTAATAATTATCACTGAGTCTTCACGTTACACTGACATAAAAGATGAAGAGACAATCATTGGCATGTACACACACTTTATATGTGGCTGGAGTAACAAAAAAAGACGGGGTAGCCTCACGAGTTTCCGGAACACTCAAATTTCACCCAGGTAGGAAATTACGGTTCTTGATAAGATAAGTGACTCTCTATGGGCCACAGTACACCACAGGAATGCTACAGCACTGAGGGATATGTTTACAGAGCGCCTGGTACCCTTAACACTCATAAGATTCCACTGACTACGGCTCCAGAACATGCATCCAATCAACCACACAGTCATAAGATCATATGAGGTGACTTTAACCTACCTGAAGTTAGGTGGGATTCACTTACTGGTCCGACTAGGCGTGACGACTTTTTCCACACATTGTCTATTTTTGGATGGAAGCAAATTGTTACTACTCCCGCAACAGGTGACAGTGTATTGGACCTAATATTTTGCCACTCCAAGTTCCCAGGATGTGATCACAAAATGTCATTATGCGCACTACCACTTCCTGCAATTAGTACTTCAATTGGTACTTTCACTCCATGTAGAATAGCATATAGAGACCATGGTAGGACGGATTGGCGACAGATGTGTCCAAAGATTAGGCGCATCGACTGACGACCGTGCTTCACCAGTGCAGACCTCGAATTGGCCATTGACACGGTTTACTTTAACTCTGAAACTTGTCTCGGTATCATTGGTCCATTGAAAGATTTCAAAAATGCCACAAAAGGAAAGGCCGAATATACCTCCCAATGTTCTTAGAAAGTTACGCCAACTCCCAACAAGAGACTACAAACATCACAACTTCGATGCACTCCGGTTGATTCTTGTCATTCTTGACTCTATCTAGCATGACCATGATTTGCGTTCGGGGGATGAGGATGGCAGTGCGCTAGCCAGCTCATCCAGAGTATGTGCTGTCTCAGCACTCCCTAGGAAGCGATTGAATCGCACAAGACATAACATTCCTCATCTTATCCACGACACCAAAGCTCATAATAATCCTGTGGATATGTATGAAATATTCAGCAAATTATTTGCAGTTACTTATCTGGAACATATGAATCTTTCGTGCGATACTAATACGGTCGGCACTATCAAAAGCTATTCTTCTCCTCCACTAGCGACAACAGATGCAGTTGAGTTCACACGTTCCAATTAGTCCTTGTACTCCATCTAGACATTTCAAAGGCATTTGACACAGTTGACCACCTGCCGTTAATAAGTAAGTTGATGCCTATGGGATGGATTAAGCCTTTCCTCAGTAATCGCGCTCGAGCGGTGAAGGTAGATCCACACGCCCTAAAAACCATACATTTCACCCCTGTTGTAGTACAGAGCAGTGTATTAGGTCCCCTACTCCTTACCTCATACGTCAACGATATCCGCGGCTGCTTTACACACAGTAGATCATTCTTGTCTGCTGATGGCCTAAAAGTTGCATACACATCCACCCATGGCGATTTGTCCCACTTCGAAGGATTAATACAAAGGGAGCTAGATATAATATCCGCATGGCCTGCTACTTTAAAACCGCAGCTCAATATAAACAAATGTGGCTGGATATGTTTTGGTGCTCCATCGGTATACACCCAACTACATCTTCAGTCCACGAAACTACCCGTTCATAAAAGTGTATATGATATGCAAGGGACCTCAAGTTCTCTGAGCGGGTGGCATCACAGACCCTCAAATCTAGGACTCTAATGGGTTGCACAGTTCGTAACTTTTACTCAAAAGAAGTCAAGTTACTGCCCTACAAAACTTGTGTGCGTCCACTGTTTTAATATTGTCCAGTCATATTGAGTGGTATCCGCATAAAAAGCAGGCGAAAAATGGAGGGTGTCCAAAGGTATTTTACAGCTAGATTACTAGAACACCATCGCAAACAGGACCACAGCTCCAGATACAGAA